TTTTTTTTTTTTTTTTTTTTTTTTTTTTGTTTCTTGTGTGTGTATTGTTCATGTAAAAATACAAGTGGACACAAAACAGTTGCAACAAGAAGAGACACATTCACATAGGGGTAACTTCCCCCACTGAAGTATCATCGTGAATTCCCACCATGATTCGATTGCATATGTATGTGTTAAAGAGAGAGAAAAAAAGGGCATATACCTGATCTGTTTAAGTCACTGAAGTCATCCATCCTTTGAAGTCAGCGGCGAAGTTTACTCAAATTTGTGTGGACAGTGTTATGAAATTGACAAAGTGGAAGTGTGTGGAATGGTCCTCTGTGGTTGGACATGTGTCGAAGGGGACAAAATGATCAAGGCAAAAAATGTGAAAAAAATAGTAAGCCTAAATATACAGTGTGGAGGGACTTTTCCAAAGTGAAAAATTGGCAAAGTAAAGGGCTATTGCCTTCTTAACTTTTCCCATTTTTCTTTTATTTTTATTTTTTTTTATTTTTGCACCTTGCCCATGTAGCCAAGCGGAAAGCACAGCTGCCTTTCAAGCGCTAGTGAATCACGTCGAGGCAAAGGGAGCAAACATACCTCTACATAATTTTTTTTAGCATTAGGGAACATAGCACTAGCTAGTTCGTCCACGTTCCCCCTCCTCAACTTTCTAATGTACACATGGAAGGGGTATGCTTTGGGAATTCCTTTTTTTTTTTTTTTTTTAAGTCTTTGATAGGGTGATAATGGGAAAATAAACAAACGCGGGAAATGTCCACATTTTTTTTTTTTTTTAAGCCGAGCTAAAACGAGTGTATTAACATCGTCCGCATAGGTGTGTCCCAGACGTGTAATTAGTCCCTTACGTGGGCCTCACAAATTGTGTAAGGCGCACTCTGGGTGAGTACGTAACTATGCAGGTGGGTTAGCGGCAGGTAATTTTGTTATACACACGGAAAGAAGGTACTGTAGAAAAAAAATATGTGGGGTGTTCGAAGCAAAATTGTGAGAAGGGTTCCACGAAGGGTTATATCGATTCGTTTAAGAAAAGGCGGAAGTTCCCCTTGGGCTTCAAAGTACATGTCACGAGAGTAGCTAATGGGGAAGTCTAACAAACGTCCGTTTGTGTATTTCCCTTTTTTTTTTTTTTTTTTTTCTTTGATAGCAACGGGTTTATCTCTTCTGCCTTAGATGCCCCCACCCCTTCCTCTCGAACGGAAAACACATTAACTACTAACACATTGTTAACAAAAAAATGTCTTTTCAAGTTGAGCGGTGTGGTGAAAGTGGCATTTTGATCAGGGGGGTGAATTGGCTGAGACGCCGGTCACATGTTCGGTGGTAAATTCTTGGTGAAGGAAAAGGGGAGATAAAAAAAAAAAGGGTCCCTACATGGGCATAACAGCGGCGATGTGCTTAAGAGACTGGCCTCAGATCTAATCACTGATAATACACCCATGCTTATTGTACATATACTATGTGCATACATGCATGTGTTTATATGTACAATTTTGTACCTATGTGTATGCTCCCCCGTATGTCATCGCTTCCCCAGTGCGAAAAAAAAATCATACCAACCCAGATTCACACCCTTTTTGTTGAAATGTTCATGCGACCCCCAGCTGCAAACTTTTTCAATTTAAAAAAATCCTCACCCATTTGTGTACACCATGTTGTGCGATCTTTTTTCGGCGCAACGGGGAGGCAATGTTGACCCCACGGTTCGCATTGCATGTGTCAATATGAAAAAAAAAAAAAAAAAAAAAAAAGGGAAGTTAACGGACGTTAAGTGAAACAAATCAAAGCGAAGCTCTAATGGACTAAGAGCTCATTGGATAAGCTGAAAATGAAAAAAAAAAAAAAAAAGAAAAAAAAATTAAAAAAATAGGAAAAAACTAAAGAATCGCCCTCTAATGCGCTGGCATGGTTTTGAGGATCACCCATAGGGGAAAACCCACTCCCATCCCATGTACACGCGCAACCGCACATTTTTGTATGGCATATTATATATAAAATATGCTCATATGCATCCCTACAGGTGAACACTCAAGGGTATAGTTCCTCACTTGTTCGTATGCAAATTTTTGTAGCCTCGCCCCTACATCCACTAAGAAGAGATAATATAGCATAAAGTGTAGTGTTAACACAAGTGTGAAGAGGCACACCTCTCTTTTTCTCGTTTTTTTTTTTTTTTTTTTGCTAAAGAGGGGAGAGAAAAAATGGCCGATGGGGAGTACAGCTTTTCCTTAACAACCTTTAGCCCCACGGGGAAGTTAGTTCAGATTGAATATGCCCTGAATAGGGTCTCCAGTAGTTCTCCTGCGTTAGGTAAGCACTCGCAGCACGCGTAGCGCTTGTAGCACCCGTGTTGGTGGGAAAAAAGTGGGGCCATTTCGCTCAATCGCCTATGAACATGATCGTGCCCGTGTTTTTTTTTCCCTCCCGCTTTTGTTCGTTTACCTCCCCGGCTTCACACTCATGTCCATTGGCATACCCCTGCATATAACTTCGCTTCTATACATCTGCACCCCTTCCCCCCCCTGTGAAGGCATCCGAGCCAAGAATGGTGTCATAATAGCAACGGAGAAGAAGAGCCCAAATGAACTAATAGAAGAAAACAGCATATACAAAATTCAGCAGATCAGCGAGCACATTGGAATTGTGTACGCAGGAATGCCTGGAGACTTCCGGGTACTACTGAAGCGTGCCCGCAAGGAAGCAATAAGGTACTCCCTCCAATATGGAAATGAAATTTTGGTGAAGGAACTTGTTAAAGAAATAGCGTCCATAGTACAGGAGTTTACCCAGACGGGTGGAGTCAGACCATTTGGCTTGTCCCTACTGATCTGCGGAATTGATGCTTATGGGTACCACCTGTATCAAATTGATCCTTCTGGTTGTTACTTTAATTGGCTAGCTACTTGTATAGGAAAAGACTACCAGAATAATATTTCCTTTTTAGAGAAGAGGTACAGCACCGACATCGAGGTGGAGGACGCCATACACACAGCCATCCTCACGCTGAAGGAGAGCTACGAAGGGGTCATGAACGAGAAGAGCATTGAAATAGGAGTGGCCTGCAACGATAAGCCCTTTAAAATTTTGACCCCCAATGAGATTAAGGACTACCTCATTGAGATAGAGTGAGCGGTGATCAAACTAGAAGCAAGACTGGCGGACGATAATCCCCCCACTGGGACACATTTTTTTTTTTTTTTTTTTGAACACCGCCAAGGGGGAGTTGTGCCATCCCGTGGCAGACCCGTAAGGTAGGCCCCTCCCTCTGTGCCTTTTTTTTTTTTTTTTTTTTTTTTTTAAATTTTGCATCGTTGGAGAAGCGTCCATGTATGATCTCCCCTTCGGTGACGAACAAAACGGCATGTCGCGGGAAACTATTTAAAATAGGTATATATATATATATATATATATAATTATGTGTATTACGTAGGTGTGTATTTTTTTTTTTTGTTCCCCCCACCACTGTTGACAGTAGTATTCTTCGTGGGGGAAAGAAGGGCTCCCAAAAAAGTGCTTGTTCATCCTGGCGTATGGAAAGAACGCGCGTGATGGGGAGTCCTTCACCCCCATACACGGCACATACCAATTGGGTAAAAAAATAAAATATATGTTGCCATCATTCAGATCGTTGCGATTGCTGTGATGGTTGAGTATGGCACACGCCGAGTGCGTTTTTCATTTCACAATTACGCCCCTAAGGCATGAGGAAATTATTCCGAAGTTACCCGCCCGCAAAAAAAAAAAAAAAAAAAAAAAAATTCCACATGCCCCCATACCCTTAGCGCAACTCAAATTAGGAACACCTTTTAAGTTTCCTCAAATTGGGCGAAGGCAACTTGCGGGTTAGGATATGAGCAAGGTGTAAAAAAAAAAAAAGGCTTCAATGAAAATATCTCACCAGGCATACACTTTTTTCTCACACGCACATACGGGACGCAACACTTGATCATTTTACGCGTGGTATGCTAATTCTCTCCCTGCCTCTCTTCAGCCAAAACGAAACGCATTAGCTGACCCAAAAATGAATTGCATACGGACCATATTTTGTAAAGGCCGCCAGGCGGTCAAGGGTAAAAGCACACCCTTCCTGATCAGCAGCAATTTTAACCTTGTTGAAAGGAGAAATATTAACATGGGTATGAAGAGACTGAACAAGGATGGCCCCGGTGAAGAAATAAATTACACGGCCAACCAACCAAAGGCAGTGCGTGTACCAATAATGCGATTTTTCTATGGCGTCATTATTCTAATGGCAGTTGTCCCCATATGCCAGACCCTCTATGAGACGAATAAGTATTACGAGGAGGTAAGTTGAGCATCCCCACATGGGGGGATCCCTATACATATGAGGGGACCGAGCATGGCTTTTCCATCACTCCCTTTTACCCCTCCTCCATTTCCTCGCACACAACACTGTTCTATATGTCTTCCACCACCACCACCTATGCAGAACAAGCATTTGTACGAAAAGGGACAGAGTTAGTTAAATATGAGAGGAGCGGCTTTCGTGTGTCTCTCCCCCTTGTGGACAGTCCAACTTTGAAGTCTATGCATTTCTGCACCCCATAGATCGGTACACCTGTGACCGGAATTTTTTTTTTTTTCCACCCCCCCCACCATGTGCATATACCTTTTTTTTTTTTTGTTACGCCTTTTATGTTTTATGTGTATGTCGAGGCGTTTTATAAAAATGTAAAGTTGGTTGTGAATCCCCCCGACGTGCGGAGTGACAACATTCAAATATAGATAACGCGCCCAGTGGGGGAAAAAAAAAAAAAAACAAAATGGACCGTGCAGCAGTGTAGCAAACTAAGCGTTATTTAATTTAAACATAAAAAAAGATTTGAAGCATAGTCCTCATTGTGCGACGGTGGACAAGCCCCCCTCATGATGCAAGTCAACCGCAGCGAGGAGGACAGAAGGGGGCAAAAAACGACAAAAAAAAAAAGGGGGGAAGCATGAAATGGTGGTGTACAGGGTTCTCATGGGAGGACGCTGCGTTGATTTTTTTTTTTTTTCGCGCACTCTACAACATGCCCTTAAAGTTTAATCCCACCTGGAAGTACTTGGTGCGGTCATTCAAGTGGTGCAAAAAGGGGAAATTAAAAAAAACTTCCAGCGAGACATTCTTCTGTATGTATGTCATGAGTCCGATCCCAGTGGACACTCTCAAGTCTCTCTTTAGCTGCTCAAAGGAAGAAAAAAAATGATTTCCTAGTCGTCCCACCTGAACATAAAAGAATAAAATGGGATTGAAATTCTGCATCTTCAAAATATATTTACACAAGAATTGAAAGCTGGTGATGAAGTTGGCCCCCAAGTAATTATAAGAAATGCGGTACTCTCCTTTTTTTTTATCAAACTTGTAACCCACATCTGTGTCCCCAATGCTGTTGTGTTCGAAGCCTCTGAAGGTTAGGGAGCTGCCGACACTTCCACTGAAGTGGAAGGCCCCTAGTTGGTACGGGTTGGCTTTATTAAAATCATATTTCACCCCATTGGTAAAGCTTACATAGGTTAAAAAATTTTCACGGAGTCTCTTCACAAATAGGTAGTATAAATGGTTTTTAAAAAAATTCGCTTCGCAGAATGGCAAGGAGAATTCGCTTTCCATTTGGTATAGGTATCCTGACGTGGGGTAGTTTGTGTGCTCCACGATCTGAGATGGGTTGGGGCTTCCTTCATCGATGTGTCCATGTGGTACCTCTTCAAGGGGACCATGACGACCCCCCTGTGGATGTAATACTTCCTTTGGCCAGCCGTAACCCAGAGCGTCCCGTTTGTACACATGGCGTAAAGTATGTTTTATATACTTGTGTGGCATTTTTAACATGGTCTCTGAGGGAATATAATTTTGACTTATGCGTTGAAAGAGTGTATTAAAATTTACGTCCCAAATGAGTGTGTGCCTTTCTCCTACGAGGAATGTTTTAAGCGAGTTGGTCTTCACCAAGTAGGACCCATGTTGTGTATTACTTAAGCTGCTGAGGTTGCCCTCAAGAATTAATTTTAAATTTGCTAGGTTAGTTAGGTGGGGGAAAACAAATCGCATACCAAAATTATTTGTGTACAAGCTACTTATATTAGCTTTGAGCTGAAAACTGTTTATCGTTTTGAGCAGGTAAGGTATATTTATTTCTAAATCGGCCGTTACTTCTCCTCTGTTGTTTACATTGGTCCCTATAACATAGTTGTTGCTTTGCTCACGCAGTGTGTACTTCACCTCCACATCTGTCTCTGTCAAGCTCCTTAGGTTGATGAGCGGAGCATCAGCGAACACATTTAGTCGATGGATTTTTTCATTACATTTGTTAATGTGAAAGAAGAGGTCCTCCACCGTTGCGCTTTTTTTTATATCTTCGAACAGGAAGTTCAACTTTTCTCCTTTCACCTTCTTCAGCCCCTCCACATTGACTTGCACGCTCGTGAGCTTCTGCGCGTGCGGGGGGTTGGGCTTGTCCTCCATTTTGTGAAGGTAGGTATAGGGGGAAACATGTGTGAGTGGAAGAAAAAAAGCTATATATAAAAGCGTTCCCTTTTAGCCATGAGGCTCACTGGGTTGGGTTTTCACTTCAGGCAGAGTGTTCCTCCCCACCTACCTCTCCACACCCCTGTTGGAGCGAGCTGGTACAACCAAGGCTACACAAGGCTACACAGCGGTGTGCAAAAACCCCTTCTCACTAGCATACGATGGAGGGGATGGCCACAACACGCTGATCCAGGTGGGGCAATTCCGTTCTCTTTGGTTTGGCTAAGGGAAAGCGGATAGCCCACTGGTTGCGGTGCACTCTGCAAGTTTTGTTTCATTTTTTTTTTTTTTTTTTTTTTTTGGAGGGTGAGGCCCCTATTCGGAAGATACAAGGGGGGTGCTTCTTCCGTTTTAGTTATTGGCCACTCGCAATGGCACCAAACATGGTAGGCATTCACATTATTGAGGAGTTCACGACGGGGTGCGCCGTTAAGATGCTTCCCCTCAGATGGAAAACAAAGTTTAAAAAAAAAAAACAAATGAAGCACAAATGGGGTTGGCGGACGAAAACAACTAATTGAGGGAAGAGTGGGTGACCCCTGAGAGCAAACCACATCACATGGCCTATAATGGTCGTCATTCTCCTACCACGAGTCGGTCCCTCCCCTCCACGCCTTGGCGCAAAATCAACACGTCGACAGAGTACATATAAACGCCGTACGTGGACAAGAGTGTGCAGTTGGCGTCGCAGCCCTTCCGCTTCAGCAGCGACGCGACTGTCTGGTAGATGCCAATTTCGCCTTCTGAGATGGAGGGGAGCAGTTCACTCGACGACCCAGTTGGGTCCACGTGGGAGTAACCCCCACCGCAGTAGTTGGTCAGCTTCCTCCTGTTACTAACCGAGTTATAAACCGATGTGTATTTTTCAAAAGGGGCGATGGGGCTGAATTTTAAAAAGAAGTACACGTATTGTAGTAGCCTTAGTGGGTAGCTAGCCAAATTTGTCACTTCCCACTGGGGGGAGGAATTGGAAAACGGGTTCAGCAAACGCAAGTGGAATATCATGAGGACGGTTGTGATTATCTGCCGGATGCTCGCTGAGTCGATCTTCCTCTTAACAACCCCTTTTACGTCGCTAAAATTTTGGCTAGCATTTTTGTCAACGCTTTGTTTCATGCTTTTCATGTGGGATGTATCTTCGTAGAGGAGCTCCTGCAGTGGCCGGCGCAGGTTTAGTCGGTCAAACATGAAGCGTAGGGAGAAGAGTAATAGGTAAGAAACAATCTTGGTGTATCTTTCACTTGGCAAACGCACATGTGTGTTTATGAAGGCCAGCGTGTTCATGAGGATGCAAGCCGTTTGTGTGTTCAGCTTGCGGCCGCTTAGCAGAGGGGTGACGTTGGGATCGTCTGCCTCGCCTATATGTATGATGTTCTGGTCCGTTTGTCCTCTGCAAGAGGTTCTGCTCTGCGTTCCATTTCTAGATCCACTTCTAACATTTAGATTCCCTTTTCTACCTTGCTGAACCCCCGCGTATATCCCCTCCAAGTACGCACACATAACGTATATGCTGTCCCTGTAGTTTGGGTCATTCTTTATGAGGCTTCTAACGATATAAACTGCATTGACCACGTCTTCCGTTTGTAATTGCGTGCAAAGAGTGAACATCTTGTTGAGGAGATCGCTTTGCTTTGCCTTAGCATCAACCACGTTTGTCTTCATCCCCACCTCGAGGTGTGCCATTTTAAAGCTATTTGATATGAGCGTTCTTATGTACCGATCGGGGGTCAAGCCGAACTTGCTCACGTAAAGGAGGTACATGGTCAGGGACCTTGAATCCATCTTAAGAATTTTTTTTTTTATGTTTTTTACACATTGTTCATATATCTGCCTGTCGTGCATGTCTAACTTACTCATGGTGGCAAGGATGCAGCAGGTGTGTTTGGCGCTCAGGTTTTCAATGATGTTCTTCCGGTCGCTGATGCGCGCGTGGTGCTGGCCCGGGGAGCGGTCTGGTACATCGTTCACGCCGCCCTCCTTGGCGTCGTCCTCGCCTGGATCATCCCCGTGCCCGCCAAGGACCCGCCTGCTGTCAGCCCCCCCCCTCAGCCACTCTACCATCACTTGAATGATTTCTACAAAGCGGCCAGTCTGATCCCCCTTCCAACGCTCCCTCACACGATGGTCTGTGCTCCTGTTCCTTTCGACCAGTGAGAATGTAGCCATGCTGGTAAACATATTAATGAACTCCATATATTTCAAATTTTTGTCTAACAAATATTTCTGTGCATGCAATTGGATCAGCTTGTAAATCTCGTGGTCGACGTAACCGAAGCGTGCGTATGCACTGGTGATGTTAAGGAAGTCTAGCTTATTAATTTCGTTTTTTTTTTTTAAAATGAGATAAGAAAATAGGGCAAAGAGGTTTGCGTCCGCGTGGTTTAGCTTGCTCAGGTTGTTCAGTAGGTTGGTCAGGTGTTTAGGGAGGAAGCCCTCGAGGAAGGCGCTTCGCCTGGGCTGTTTCAAGCTCATCGGTGCGTCTGTGTTCGCCTCGTCCCTGTTCGCGTTTCCGTGTTCAGGCTTGGTGGTGCCCATCCCGGCCCGGGCGAACTCGCGGCGCAGGCGTCCCTTCACAAGCTCCAAAATGAAGCGCGTCTTCTCCGTGCAAAGGTAATTATACGACTTGGTGACGATGGTGACGATGTTGGAAGTGCACTGATTGGACAAGCCATTTATGACTTCCCTCTTGGCCAGTTTCCCCAAAGCAACATTAAACAATTTCACATTAACAATTTCAATATTTACAAAGCTGTTTAGAATAATTACAAGTGCCCTCACATTTATTCCATCCATGTTGTTACAAACATACTCAGCGATGGTGTCGTAAAGTACCCTGTCTCGGTAGGCGAAGGAAGAATACGAGTGCGTTACGCTGCTCACGAAAATGTCGGAGCACTTGTTCTTGTCCTGCTTAAGTTTCAAAATGATAACAATTTTGAGCATATCTAATAGGGCCTTGTTCTTTACACACGACTTGGTACATGCGTTTAGGATCAGTGCGATGCTCTGCTCGCTTATGTGGTTAATTTTTTTTACACTGCTTATAAGTTTTTCGAACAGCGCGCTGGCCGTTTGGTTCACTTGGTTACGTCCTACTTGGCTGGCTTGTTCCCCCTGTGTGGCCTGTGCTGCGATGGCCCCACTTGTCCTTTTGCCATTTGTCTGTCCCTCCCCCGTTTGGCTTCCCCTCGTGAGCATTACCCGAATGAGCACGCTGATGTCCCTCTCCGTCAGGTTCCTACTCATGTGCTCGTAATTTCGGTACACGCTTTGGAGCGCTTGCCCCATGGGGTCACAACTACCTCCATGATGACTACCAGGGGTGGAGACACTGAAACTGCCAATCGCTTTAATCGTGTTCACCACATGTCGGTTCATTTCAAATTCTTTAATTATTTTTTGTGAAGCTACTTTTAATATTTCTTCGTTCCTTACGTTGACCTTGGCCAGTGCGTTGAGGACAAGGCACAGCTCTTCCATGTTAAAATGGTGCAGCAGTTTGTCTTTGGTGTGATTGGCGGTAGAGTGGAGGTCACTCCTGTGCGTTTGACCATTGGGGCCGCTTCCCCGGGTTCCCCCACTTGGGTGAACTCCATTTGGGTTGACTCGATTTGTGATAAGTGCATCCCCTTGTTGTGGCATTCCTGGGGGGAGTGCTACTTCGTCTCTCCGCGCGGCAGACGTGGTTGCGTCGAGGATGCCCCCGCCCTGCCTCGCCCGCAGACACTTGAACTTGCCCAGTACCCTGCCATCCGTAGTGGTGATTATTCTACACACGTGTTCCCAAAAGGACTTGTCCTGAAAATGCACCTTTGACAATTTATTCAAGCAGAGAGATATTTCTTTTGTATCGAGCAGATGTATATTTTGAATTAATTTTTTGCTCAGATGCACCACGTCAGCTCTGTCCTGGCATTTGTTAACCCCTTTTAGAAAATACGCAAACATGGTTTCGTCTTTGTTTCTGTGCTCGATGGAGCCATTTGATAAAGCGGGTCCCCCTTCATTAATTAGTCCTTTTTATATGCGTCCTGGGGAGGTGACTTGGTATTCTTTTTTTTTTATTATTTTTTTCACATGGTTAATTTCTTCTTTGTCACGCTGACCCTACAATGTTTTTTTCACAAATTGGATTCCCTTTTTTTCCCACACAAAATATGTAGATGGCCAATTTAAGTAGAAACGGGTGGGCGGGAGGTAGAAAACAGCTGCTGGCCACGCGTTGCACCTGAGAGATTTACCGTTTCACCGGCGTTAGGGAGGGGCGCTATAAGTGCGATTGACAGAGGCATTGCCTTTTATAATTTGCCTTCCGGGGGGGAATCTCTTCGCTACTGCGCACAATTTAGCGAGGGAGCCATTTTGTTGCATTTTCCTGTGTCACATTTTTTTTTTGTTGTTACGTTTTTTTTTTTTTTTTTTTTTTTTTCCCTACTTGAGGTGTTACCAAAAAAGAGAGCACATCCTAAGTGGATGCCAACAGGGATCATCGGATTGGGTCCCGCGCCCCCCCTCATATGGCTCGAAAAAAAAGGTGTCATTACTCTATGCGTGTAGGACCCACACAGTAGGCTTCTCAAAGATAGCAAGTGCAACGGGAGGGGTGCCAACCCACGCGGGCCCCATGGAGAAGGCAAAATGCTTTGGCCTCTGTCTGAGGGCCATCCACTTTAGGAGCGCCCGCGAGTGGAAGCAGTTTATGAACCCCAAAATGTAGGTGACGGAAGGAGTGTGTGTGTGGGGGACGGGGGCTACCCCACACACTACACTATGCACCATCACGTGAACGACCACCCACTATGCTATGCACCCCCCCATGCAGCGACGGCACGAGGATAAAAAAGATTCGGAACGTCAGCGAGAACGACATGCTGCACAAGCACCGGGTCCACAAGTACCCCTATTTCAAGATGAAGAAATTTGGCAAATACAAAAAGATAGAAGTGAGTGACAACCACCTCTTCAATCGAGACGTCGAAATCATATATGACCACAGGTATGCAGAAACGTTTGTGAAACTCAAGGACATAATTTCGGCCAACCTGGAAGGTAACGCAACGCCTCTTTTTTTTTTTTTTTTTTTTTTGTCTACTTGGTACTGTGTCATTGGAGGGGGGAGGACACACAGAGGGAAAGAAAAAAATGCTCGGCGCAAATGATCAGGTGTATATGTTCAACGGGGGCAGGTGAATAGCGCCACCAACTTGTCAACATATGCCTCACCACTACTGGTCCCCCCCCTTAGGAGTAACCATCCGGGAGAGGTGCACTGATGACGCCTCCTTCGAAGTGTACGATTGCCTACGTAACATAACTCTGATAAAAAAAAAAAACCAAGGTTAGCCAAGGATATAAAAAAAAGAAAAAAAAAAGCAGCGCAATGCGACGAGATGAGACGGTGCGAGACGGAGCGAAGCGAAACGTGTGTTAAGGTTTGCTCATGCAAGATTAAAAATTAAAATGTCAACAGGGTTGAGGGGACAGACGAGAGACGCATCCCTTGTGGAAGGCGCAACTCGCTGTGGAGGAAGAACCCTACTGACCAACAAACCGATAAGCAGTTTTACGAGTCGTAAAAAAGGGAAAAAAAAAAAAAAAAAGAAAAGAACACGTGGGGTGTGATTCACATCTGTGGAGAAGGATCCACCGGCAGGTTATCCCTCTTCACCTAATCAGTGCGATTTCCCACGTGGAAGTAAAAACCGGTTCTCCCCCCCTTTTGTAGAGTTAGAAGCTGAAGGGCTGTTCCGCGAGATGGTGCAGAAGATGCAGCAAGACGTGTAATTCTGGGGGCAGGAAAGGGAGAAGCGACATGGGGAGACATACAGCCTACTTACCCCTCTACCTCTACCTTTACCCTTTTTTAAGTACAATTTTGTATGTGCTCTTTGGCGAACCCGAAGAAAAAAAGTAGCGATGCGCTTCTATGGGGTGTTTTCTACTTTGCCCGGGTGGTTTTTCCTTTTTTTTTTTTTTTTTTTATCACGCTGTCTACAGTTTAATTATGCTTCACTTTTTTTTTGCTACCACTTTGGTCGCTTTCGCCTTCGCTTTCCCCTTCGATTTCGATTTTGACTTCAACTTGGTAATGACCCTTTGTACCTTTTGATCCCGTTTTTTCATTTTCCGCATCTTAATTAGATGCGCCTTTTGCTTCATCTCTTCAATTTTCTTCAGCGTCCTTCTTCTGAAGGCCAACCACTTCTCCTCGCTCTTGGAAATCTTCTTCTTGCGAACCCTTTTGCGGTAGGGGACGAAGACGTCGTTGTGATTTGTTTTGCCAATCGGGTTGCTTTTCCTCTCCCTGGTCGCCTCTCGGGTTTTGTCCCCCTGGCGCGTCCTATGCTTCATGTAAAGCATAATATTATCTTCGCCGTTAACAATGGTGTGGAAGAGCTTCTTCAGGGCCAGTGCTTTGGGGGCGTGCTCGGCGAAGTGGTAGATGGTCACGTCGCTCTGCGCGTCGCGCAGGTTCTCTCCATCGGTGCAGCTGCCGTGCGTGGCGTGATTGGCGCGATGGTCAACTTGGCTGCTGCTTTTCCCATCGCTGATCCCGTCACCCCGCTCGGACAGCCCGCTGCACACCTTGCGCAGCTCCAGCGTGCTGGCCAGCTCGTCCATCAGAACGAAGCACACGCTACGGAAGTTACCCCCCTTCTCCATGTACCTCTTTATATTCTTTACCGTGCTAACAATCTGTTCATACTCGACTCCCTCCACTATACACTTCATTCGAATCATGTTCCTCTCTTCCTCATCTGCACACACGATGACCTTCTTTTTGTCTTTATCCTCCTCCTTCAGTATAACCATCAGCAGCTCCATTTTCTCTTCAAAGTTGCTTGGGAAGAGATTTTCAAATTTGTGTTTACTCTTGGTACTCCCCCGCGTGTGCAAGTGTATTCGGAGTTTCTCCGCTGGGCCCTTCTTGTCTTTGTTTATTTTTGTCTTCTTCCCTCGAGGGGTGGATTCTTCGTTCGTGAAAGGGGATTCGAAGTTGTCTCCTTCTAGAAGGTCTTCCCCAGAATCGTCTCCCACCTCATCTCCCATTTCTTCACCCAGCTCTTCACTAACCTCTTCACCTAAGTCTTCACCAAACTCTTCGCCAACCTCTTCACCTAAGTCTTCACCAACCTCTTCGCCAACCTCTTCACCTAAGTCTTCACCAAACTCTTCACCTAAGTCTTCACCAAACTCTTCGCCAACCTCCTCACCGATCTCATCACCCAACTCATCACCAAACTCTTCACCAACTTCATGTCGCAACCCCCTTCCCACTTCGCCCGGAAAGGCATCCACGACGGGCTGCCCCCTGTGGGGGAGATGGGCCAAAGACATTTCATTCTGCAAAATAAAATCATTAATTTCAAAAGTAACCGAATCTTGCTTCTGTGTCACATCGAAATATTTGAGAACGTCTTGGTCCATTTGGGACAGTCCCTCTGGGTTCTTCTCGCTGCTTTTCCCTCCACTATCATTCGCGTTCGCTACATTCTCCGTCGCTACATTCCCTTGCGTGTTTTTTTTCACTTCGAGCGCCTTCCTATATGTTATGTACTTTTTCAAATTTGAGAGGGAGACATCGGACAGGTCTACTTTTTTGTCCGCGTGCACTTCTTCTCCTTTGCTGTCCCTGCTACTTCGTATCTCCCTCACAGTAACAGCGTCTTCTGCAGCGTCTTCCGCTGTGTGGCTGCCGTTCGGGCCATCGTTTGGGTCGCCGTTGGGGCTGCCGCCCCCCCTCTGCCTCAAACGCATGACAACATTCACGTCGTGCGAATCGAGGAGCTTGTTCATCCGCTTGACTAGGTTGGTACAGTTCTTCACATCCATGGTGCCTTCACCACACCACTTTTTTATTACCTCTTGTAGGCGTTCTTGCTCCACTTCATGTAGATCCATACGTATTAGGTTTTCCACAAGTTGGTTTGCATTTTTTTTTTTTTTTTTTTTTTTTTTTAGCTAGCTTGTCCGATTTTCCCTTAACCAGAAATGCATTTTTTTCCAAAATTTCATTAATGACATTTTTCAGCTGATCATCGCTAAGCTCCCCCCTTTTCTGTTCCTTCTGTTTTGAGGTGTACTTCTTAAGGAGTGCTTCATAGTTCTGCTCTAGCTTGCGCAGATGTTCGTGTTTGATTTGGGTTTCTTCCCCGCTGACACCGCTACCCTCACTTGACGGAGCGAAAATTGGAGTAGCCATTTGTCCGCGGGTGTTTTCTCTGGCCAAGAACTCCGATTGCAGAATGATCAAATAGTCCAAGTCAAGCAAACCGTCTCGCATACAGTTGAGGAAGATCTCCTTTACCTGCTCCACCGTGTACTCCTTCAAGCGTTTCAAGGAGCATAGGTAGTTGGGGTCCTTGTATTTTATAAGCCTAATTATGTATATCATGAAATTAGTATCTAGGTTTAGGTCCTCCGTGTTATAATTCTGCCAGTTGTCTGTTAAGTTGGAGGTCTTGAGGTAGGTGATAATTTCTTCTCGCTTACTTCTTTTTCCAATGCAGCAGAACAAGCCGCTCACCGAGTCAACTAGCCGGGTGAAGTACAGGCAGAAGGACTTGTACTTTTCGTCTTTCTCGATCAGCTTGTTCATTTTTGTCTTTCCACTCTTCTCGTTCGTGTCGTTTTTCCCACCCCCCTTGAGGATCTGCTCCATTTGTTCATCCACGCCCACCTGCTCGTCAGCACCATGGCCTCCGCCACGCACCCCCACGACGCCGCTATCCACCCCCACGCTGTCGCTATGCACACCCACGCCGCCGTCACCCCCCTCCTCACCGTCCAAGTTGCATTTGTCGTTGAAGGTGAAGAAGCTGAGGAGGTGGATCACTTCGCTAACATACACGGAGACATCCAACACACCTTTCGCATAGTACTCGGTTGCTTTGAAGAGGTACGCGGCGGTGTTCATGTCCAGGCATTCTTTCAACTCTCGCTTGATGTAGGACCTAACGGATTCGTACTTAGAAGGGTTGTACAAATATTTTTGCTTCTTAATAAGTTTTACCTTTTTGTATATGTGGTGCAGATACAGGTGATAGTAATCGTCTTCCTTCTGCGCATTCAAAAATTTTTTCCTTGTCGGAGGATGGTGAAGAGTTTCCTCTTTGGGGGGTCCTTGACCTAGGGATGAGTTATCCCCCTGCATATGCTCACTCGAGTTGTCGTGCGTATGCACAACTCCTTCTTGGATCGCCCCCCCATGATCACACACGTATCCTTCCCTCCATCTGATTAGGAACTTCCTCCCAATACCCCTACCCTTAATTGCTCTCCCCCCGATGGAGTTGTTCCTCGTGAACCCTAATAAACCATTCTTCTCCTTAAGAAGGAAGCAAAAGGAAGACGCTAACAGTGTGACAAAAACAATGAGTAAGCTCCCCTTCATTAAAAAGAAGTGCCGTCCTTAGTACCACGTTACATTCATTTCGTTTCTTTACAAAAAATGGAAATAAGGGCGTAGGGACAAAAAAAAAAAAAAAAAAAAAAAAAA